ACACCCTTCTTTTTTCTACCTTAAGGAGTCTCAAAGCAACTTACAATCACTTTCCCTTCCCCTCCTCACAACAGACATCTTGTGAGACATGTGGGGCTGAGAGAGTTCTTAGTAGGGATGGCATGTCAATCTCACCCTCTTCTCTCCCTCACACACAGGATTTTACCTTCTGTCTTCTTTCTTGCTGAGCAGCCCGTTTATATTTTTTCTTCTTATTCGTTTGTCTATGGCTGTCCCACCCATATTGAGCTGGAAACTGGGGGAAGAGACAAAATCATGTTCTGCTTTTGAAATGGCACATAAGAGGCTTTTGAAAATTCAAAATAAACAAAATGTTTTATTTAACTTGGAGGAGAAAAGGTCATGTGAAATCAGTTGTAGGATATATGTGAACAGATAATAAAACTGAGGTAACTTTGTATTCACACAAACACCAGATAATTTTTTGCCAACAAGTAAGTGTTTCTGCTATTCAACAGGGTCTTGGAAACTTTGAGGAGAGAGGCTTTCTTTTCAGTTTCTGCTTAAACAGTCAAGCATAGGTTTCCGACTTTCACCGACACGTAAAGTTTAAAAGGCGAGTACATACAACCAAGTTCCCAGAATCCTTCTTTATACACAGACCAGGGATCACCACTCTTTTTTTAGAAGCTATTTCCCTTCTTAACTGGGCAGGGATCATTTCTCTTTATTAGATGCTATATCCCTTTTTTGGCTTGAATGTCTCTTCTTCAGCTGTCAGTTCCCAACTGTCATTCCTTTACTGACTCTCACAATAGAATTCTGGTTCGAACCGCCTCTCACTCAAAGGTTCTCAGACTCTGTTAGGCATTAACCTTTGATGGTCCCTCACAGATGGGCATGAACCAAACCACAAAGCAAAATTCGCCACGAATTTTACCCTGTTTGTGGTTAGCAAACCAAAGTTCGTGACAGGTCTACCGTCATGAACCATGAACTTTTAAAGCAGTTTGTAGCGGTTCATGGATAGAGCAGAAAGTAGGGGTTTAAAGGGACTCCATGTCCCATTAAAATCCTACTTTCTATTCCCTGCAAAAGCCACAAAAACAGCTGAACTGTTTCAGGCTGTTTTCTGCAGTCCCTTTAACGTTCTAAGGGACTGCGTAAGACAGCCTGAAACAGTTGAGCTGTGGGGAGCAGGCTGCTCCACGCTACTCAGCTGTTTTTTGGGCTTTCTGCAAACCCCATTTAAAGGGACTGCAGTCCCTTTCAACAGGGTTTGCGGGGCTACGAAACGGTTCGGTTCATGAACAAATTTCCCGGTTTGATTTGGTTTGTGGTTTGGCCATGAAGCACGAACTGACACAAACTACATTTTCCTATTTCATGCCCGTCTGTAGTTCTGAGAGAACTGTGCCTGGCCCAAGGTCACCAAGCAGGCTTCATGTGGAGGAGCAGGGAATCAAACTCAGTGCTCCAGATTAAAGTCTGCCAGTCTTAACCACCACACCATACTGGCTCTCACCGTGGACCTCCCCTTCTTAATTTGGAGCAGACTGCTTCATACGTATTGATTAATAAGCTGTTTCTGTTTAAAGCCTTTATCCTCTTCTGATCCTGGAATCAATTTGTGCACTCCTCCATCCTCAAAGAGGATGAGGTTTTGCTAAATAGTTTTTTTTTAAGTATCTTTTAAAAAAAAACAAAAAGAACCAAAATATCACATGCTAAATGTTCCCAGCACGGAAAAACTGTGAGGCTATTAAGGTAAGAATTTGGAAACCAAGGCCACTGGAGATGCTTCTCTGGCTTTACTCTCATCTTTCTCCAGGCCTAAACTGCAGTGCAGGGATGACGTTTGAAGTGCAGAAAAGTCACCTGCGTTTTGCAATCTGTAGATAGAAATTGGCCCCAGGCTGTGCTGGAGCAAATGAAACAGGCAAGTGAAATCGCTAAGATCAGTGAGTTATTTCAGCATAGGTCAGAGTCAGCCGCTGATCTATACTGATAATGCCGAGCGGGTGATAGATGGATTGGCTCCGTTCCAGTAACTGTGTACAAATAGCTTTATTCCTAAAGATGCCCATTTATTTCTGTTGCGCACTGAGATGATGTGTGTCTTAGAATAGTTCCAATGTATTAAAGCGTGCTGGGCTTTGATCACGGTTTCTAAAGGGGAAAAAATGTATCTGAACCTTTTCCTCTGCAGCTTCTCTCTGGGCTCTTTTCTCCATCCTGATTTCTGTATTTGTGTGCGAAGTAAACATCTGCTGCCCTGTGGGGATTTGCAGAGACAGGACAGAGTTACAGAGCAGGGGTTATTGACCCTTCTGTCTGCCTACTCTTATTGGCTTTAAATCATGGCTTGCTGGGGCCTTGCAGTGAAAGAGAAGTGGTGTATCATGTTTAGATACACTCGTTGCAAAACGGAGCCTGTTTTGGCCCAGGCCTTTGGTTGAGGCAGCAGACATTCAACCATTCTGGCCTTCCCTGTCCAGCGCCCTTGCTGTTTTGGATATTATTTGGGCACTGGAGTTTCTTGGGGTACTTGCTGTTCCTTGCCTGGCATGAGGCGCAGGTTTTTGTTACCATTTCTTGCCGCCATTTATTGTTTTTATTGTCTGATGGTTTTATGTTGTAAGCCACCCTGAGCCCACTTGTAGGATAGGGCGGGATATAAATATAATAAATAAATAGTAATCATCATCGTTGGTTGAATTTGAGAGTGTCTTACACCATATTGAGTGAACAATGAAAGATGGCTCTTTTGATCAGATTCTGGTTTGAGCCGGCCTCTCTTTGTATCACTCCCCTTTTCCTATTGGTTGTGTATGGATTTTACACTCCTTTGCATCTGATGAAGTAAGCTCTGATTCACAGAAGCTTATGCTGGAATCAGTTCTGTTTAGTCTTTAAAGTGCCACTGGAGTCCTGTTTTATATTCCATTGGAGTAGGCACAGGAGCTAATTGGACTACACAAGGGGAGGGACGTGGCTGCTGATTGGCCTGTCTGCTGCATTGCAGTTGGTTGTAACAGGTAATGTAGATGATGGTGATGAGGGCAGGTTCCTCCCCCTTCTCAGAAACACACACACAAACTGCTCCCTCTGGCACAACACCACACTTGTTTACGCATGTGTGGCAACCACAGGGGCAGGGCTGACTGCATGAGTCTTCTACCATGAGTCTTCTGCCAAACTTGGTAAGGAAAAAGTATAGTAAGCTGGTCAAACCACATGGTTTTGATATTAATTCTTTTGTACACCTGCTGCCCAGTGGTGGGATCACACCAGAGTACTCATTGTTGTGTGTGAGAGTGAGTTTTGAATATGTCTTGGTAAGAAAGCTTTACAGGGTAACTTAATAGTTTAGGTAATTAGGTGAAGAGGAAGAAGAGGAAGAGATTGGATTTATACCCCGCCCTTCACTACCCAAAGGAGTCTCAGAGCGGTTTACAATCCCTTTCACTTCCCCTACCCACAGTAGACACCCTGGGAGGTAGACGGGGCTGAGAGAGCTCTCTCGAGAACTGCCCTTGCAAGAACAGCTCCGAAAGAACTTACGACTGACTCAAGGTCACACCAGCAGCTGCATGTGCAGGAGTGGGGAATCAAACCCGGTTCTTCCAGATTAGAGTCCACACTCTTAACCACTACACCAAACTGGCTCTCACCAAACTGAAAGGATAATAAAATTAAATTTTTTGAAACAGTTCATTTTGCTTGGGCAAGAGCTGCTGTAACATAACATTCAACCTCATTCTGACTTTTTAAAAAAAACTGTTTGAATTTTATACCTATCTATTTTACTCATTTAAAACTTTTCTGTGCTGCCTTTCCTCCCAAATAGGGCCCCCAAGGCAGCAAACATCAAAATGTTAAAACATTTCAACATTAAAACAGCATTTGAAGCAAAGTATGTATAAAATAATTTGATAAAAACATATAGGAAAAATGCTGATGGTATGGTATCCACGTGTTCCAGAAACATGGTGCCCCGGTCTTCAGGTTAAATTACTACCTGAAGTAAGAATGAGATATTTACTTATTTACTTTGTTTATATCTTGCCTTTATCCCCAAAGGAGACTCAAAGTAGATTAAACTGTTCTCCGTTTTATCTTTCACAATGACCCTGTGGGGTAGGTTAGGTGGAGTGTGTGAGTGACCTACCTAAGTTCACCCAAGCAACATCATGGCAGAGACGGGATTTGAACCTGGGTCTCCAGATCCTTGATATAACAATTAAAGGGGCAGCAGTATGATGTCACAATACACAAAGATTACTGCAATAGTGCATACACTACAAATAATTATAAACAATAGTTAGACTCTGATAGCAATAAACTTCATGTTGTTTTAGTCTAACTATTGTTTATCATTATTTGTACTGTCTCCAGATCCTTGTCCAACACTCTGTCCACTAGACTGCACTAGACTGGCTGTTAGTGGTCAGTGTTGTCACTAGGGTTTCTATGGCAGTCTGTCAGGTTTGACTTTCAACGCAGAGATTATTGAACTGCTGATGTGGATGGTGATGTGAAAGACCTCTTGTCTGAGACGCTGGAGCACTGTTGCCAGTCCGAGTAGACAATACTGACCTGGTCTGATTCAACATAAGTCAGTTTAGTGTGTGCTCAGTACTGTATTACTCTCTTTGGAATATGTATCCCACTGTACATCCCCACCACAGTTCATCAACACACATGTGCTTGATCCCCCAGTATAATGCACATTAAGTTGCTCAACTGCTTTTTCATGAGGGAGGGTTGCAAAAGTCAGCCATTTTGTGGATGGGAAAAAGCAAAGCCAGGGCCAAGTGGGAAAACTCTACCGAAACAACAGGACCCCCTAATTTTGCCCTTCAATCTTGTTTGTTAGGTAGCCGGAGTGATAGCAGAAACCTAGAATGGTGAGGCTGAAATCCAGTGCAAATGATAAATTCTTGGATTTTAACAAGAACATATATATTATATTGCAAACCAATTCGCAAACATTTCATACTTCATGTTTCTAAAGCGGCTGCTTTGTTATTTTCCAGGAATTTATTTTATCAGAAGATTACAACAAGATGACACCAGTTAAAAGTTACCAGGGTAAGAAATGTAGTCAATATTTGTAGGGGGAAAAGTTACTTTGGATCTTACTTTCTTACCACGTAGGTCTTCAGAAGTAAATAACACAGCAGATTTAATAATCTCTCAGACCTGCTGTTCGTAATTCAGATGTCTACTAGCAAGATGCATTTTTAAAAAGTTTTTGCAAATATCTAAATGTTCTCCTTTCATGTGTGTTGTAAAATTGGCTTCTGTTGTGCAAAACTTCATTGCTTTTTATACAGGAACTTGATTTTTGTTCAGGCATTCAGTTTGGTTAACGGAATATGTTAAGTTTTATTACTGCTCAGACTTTCTTTTGTCTAAAATGTCATTTATAATGGAAAGTGAAACCTTCCTCCTGAGTCTTACAATTGGAAGGCTTGAAATTCAGAGGCAGGTATTTTTTTGTGGGGGAGGGGGGGAGATGGACAGTTTGCTATAGTCAGGTCGGAGCATCCCTCCCTCAGTTGCAATGGCTGGGTCAGGCTGTATTTTCACAAGGCCGGACTGAAAGAATGGAAGAAATATGATTTTTTTTCCCATTAATTCAGAACAATAGTGTTCATAAACTCCTGTTAGAATAAGAATAAACCAATTCATTCTAAATATTACTTATTTACTTCACTTATGCCACACCGTTCTCCTCAAAGGGGACCCAGAAGTGGCGTACATCATTCTCCTGTCCCCTGTTTTATCCTCACAACAAACCTGTGAGGTTGCTTAGGCTGAGAATGTGTGACTGGCCCAAGATCACCCAGCAAGCTTCCATGACGGAATAGGGATTCAGACCTGGGTCTCTCAGATCTTAGTCTGACACTCTAACCACTGTACCACACTGATGTGTGTATATTTTGTCCAAGCCCATGTGTTCAGTCTTGCAGCTGGAAATGCTACCTCAGAATCCCAGATCAGTAACAATTCCCCTAGGCTGTGCCTTGGAGAGTATTTCACCTTTTTTTCTTTTTAGACCAGGCAATCTCCCTCCCTCCCTCTTGCTTCAGATCTCCCAAAATGGGTTATCTGAGTGAAAGTTCACCCTTTGACTCTTGTTCACTCAAAACCTTTCCTACTGTTTTATTTGAAAAAGGTTATCTTGCGTGCAGTGTTCCCTCTAAGCTGAGTTAGTGTGAGCTAGCTCACAGGTTTTTTAGCCTCCGGCTCACACATTTTTGTCTTCGCTCATGAAGGATGGCTCCAAAGCAAACTAACTTATGCAGTAGCCAAATCACTGACTCACAACTTTACTGCCAGTAGCTCACAAAAGTAGAAATTTTGCTCACAAGACTCTGCAGCTGAGAGGGAGCATTGCCTGCATGTACTATATATTCAGAGTTGGGCTTTGTTCTTACAAACTCCATACAAGTATAGGATAAAGAAGTTTGTTACCATTGGGGAACATACTGTTGCCCCTTGGCAGCATGACTGTGACAGGCAGAAGGCATGGAAAGCTGATTTCCCCCATCAAATGTCACCACCTGGCATATGCCGAGGATTACCCATGCCAGCCATCCTTGGGTCATGGGTCACTCCCCAGGTGCCCCTGCCTTCTATGGATATAGTACTTAAGATCAATGTTCCCTCTAAGCTGTGGAGTCTTGTGAGCAAAAATTCTACTTTGTGAGCTACCGGCATCAAAGTTGTGAGCGAGCGGTTTGGCTGCTGCATAAATTAGTTTGCCCTGGAGCCATCCTTCCTGAGCGAAGACGAAAATCTGTGAGCCTGAGGCTAAAAAGCTGTGAGCTAGCTCACACTAACTCAGCTTAGAAGGAACACTGCTTAAGATGGGCCTTGAATTGTACAAAAATCTCTGAAAGAGCAACCAGCATATAAATTCCATTGATGTTCTGCTGTGATACGAGCTAATAGGGTAACCAGGGTAAGTATAAATTCAAAATTGTAATTCATTGATGATATATCACAAGGGCCAGATAACTGAACACCCCCCCACCCCCGTTTTGGAACAGTAAGAAGCATGAAAAGGAGTGACTGTAGCTTAGTGGCAGGCAACACTGTTTTCATGCAGGGTGTCAAACAGGCACCACTGGTAACAGTACTGAAAAACGGCCTTGCCTGAGACCTTGAAGAACTGATGCCAGTCAGACTGTAAGGAGGTCGATGGACCTGTGGTCTAATTCAGTTACAAGGCAGTTCTGTTTTGGGATGGGCCCTACTCTGTTATATAGTGCTATTTTTTGCCTGCTGAAGGTCCCAGGTTCAATCCCTGGCTTCTCCAGTTAGAGAGATTTCATACAGCAGGACTGAGGGTGGGTAGGAAGGACTTCCTTTGCCAGAGACTCTGGAGAGCTGACACCTGTCAGCAGAGACAACACTGAGCTAGGTGGTCTGATTTGGTATAAGGCATTTGTAGGTTCATCAGATCCCAAAGGTAGGAAAATGAGGAATGAATAATTACCAGTTCAGTCTGTACTTTATGTTGGGGGATATGAGGGACAGCCGCGAAAAAAGGGGATGTGTTGATTAAAGCTGGCCACTGGGAGTACCTCAGTTTTACATTTCTTTCTTCTTCGACACTTAAATTTCTCTACCTCTGATGCCTGTCGTCTGCACTTAATAGAGATTTTGTTTGGCTGCGTGCATTCCGCCCTGACCTGGATAGCCCAGGCTAGCCTGATCTTGTCAGATTCCAGGAGCTAAGCTGGGTCGGCCCTGGTAATTATTTGGATGGGAGACGTCCAAGGAATACCAGGCTTGTGACATGGAGGCAGGCAATGGCAAATCACCTCTGAATGTCTCTTGCCTTGAAAACTGCAGGGTTGCCATAAGTCAGCTGTGACGATGGCAAAAAAAAATCTCCCCCCACGCCTCTAAGTGGCCCCCTCCACTTGGCTATTCCCCACCTGGATTGGGCTTGACTCTGCAGACGCTTAATTCTGGTTTCCCACCATTTGTCCCACATGGGTAAAGAATACACAAAAGTAGCCCTGATTATGTCTGTGTGGAAGTTGCGTTTGAGGGTTTTGTTTCTCCTAGGGGAAGCCAGAGGGAAGGATGAAGAAAGGAGAATGAGAAGCTCTCCCATGTTATATTAATATCTTCCTTTTTTTCTTTTCTTTTTCCAGCTCACCAGAGCAGGGTTTTGATGGTTCTGTTTGTTCTGGAAATGGAATGGTTGCTGAGCATTGGTCAGGATAAGCTCTTCACATGGCATTGCTCAGAGAGCGGACAGCGGCTTGGCACCTACCGCGTCAGCGGAGGCCCCTGTGGGCTGCAGTATCCTTTACAGAAATCATCCCAGGCTGGTCTTCTGCTTACTTCGGTTCTTCAGTGTGTTATAGAAGCTTTTGTTCTGGTGTCATAATCACGGATCTTAGCAATAGAGACACCATGAGGTGACTGACAAACATCCCCAGTTGGTCAGCTTCTTGTTGGTTGTTCATCGTGCACCAAAAAAGTTAGTTTCAGAGAATAGCCATGTTAGTCTGCAATAGAACTCTAATCTGTCCACCCCAAAGAAATATGTAGTAACAGGTAACTTACAGTAAGCATAAACAAGAAATCAGTATTAAGTAAATTCCATTAAGTAAATGAAATAACAGATTCTGAAAATGTAAACATTCTTCTCAGACCATCAAATCTCTTCATGTGTATATCTTTTCAAAGGCGCTTCAGTGATCTAATCACAGCACAAAATTGTGGTGCTGAAGTGTGGCCGGTAGTTTGTAAAGCACAGCACACCTTCCAGATGGAAGGAAAACATGTTTCGTCTGTGCATCAGGAGGAAACAACAGAGCAAAGATGGTTTGAGAAAGCACAGGGAAAATGTGGAAAGAAGACGGATGGGCAGTGAAGCTTGGGAATAATCTGCAGCATTTGGGAGTCCAAACTGGAACAAAAAGTTTATGAATTTGAAGTCACCAGTGTTCCTAAAGGCACACCTGGGCTTAAGCATTGTGGACTAGATGGAGCTGTTTCCCACCATGTTTTCAGACATCCCCATCCAAGCTTTAAATGCCTTTCATCCAAACTATGTGAAATGCAGAAAGTAAATAGAAAAGCAGGGAATTGAGTGATGATCCCTTTGCCATTTGCAAGAGTGCAGATTTAGAGCCGTCTTGTCCATTGACGTTGTTTAGCCAAAAATGTATCACTCTGGTCCATTTCATGTGTCACTTATCCTTGTTCTGCTAATTGGCCTAGGCCAATTTCGATCTCCGTCTCAATAATAAGTGGGGATATCTCAGTGCTGCTGAGACAGGCAGTTTGTAAATGGCCTCTTGAGGTTATCCCAGATCTTCTCCTTTGGAAGTAATTGTGCTAATTTTTTGGAAGGGAAAGTTCAGGGTTTTCATTAACATTTCTCCCCATATTTTGTATTTGAAGGCTGTCACTGCAGGAGGGATTCCTGTTGAAAGCTGATAGATGGTGCCCCTGTAGGGAACTGTATGAGGTATTGAGTGACTGTGAGTCAGACTGCCGAATAGATCACCTCAAGTGCAAAATCACAGCAAAAGTGACAGGGTACATGTAGTTCTCTCCTTCTCAGAGTGAGGCCTGCAGTGGTTTTCATTTGCCAACACACTTTTGTGGCAGGCCTAGACAGGCTCACCACCCTGGACTGCAGACTGCCAGCTCCTGATTCCACCTGCAGAGCTGCGGCTCCACCCCTGCTTTGAGATGCTCTAAAGACTTGGAACTGAGAAGGAAGGGAGAGGCTGCTTATTACCGTGACCTGCAGATCTGTCACCTTTTCTGTGTTTTCCCCTATTGTCAGTGTCTTTGCTTCATAACTGATCTTTCTGTCTCTGCAAGTGATTTTTACTGGTAATAGTGTTTTTCTCCGGTTTTGAATTTTTTGATAACGGATGTGGCCAACATATGTTTTAATGTATTAGCATTTTTAAGTGATTATATACATGTTAGAGTTTCTGTGTTTTTGATGTTTGTGAACAGATTTGAGTCCTGTATTCTCGGGGGGGGGGAGCAGCATATAAATATGTTAAATAAATAAATAAATAATGTACCCTCCCCCCAGAACAGAAGGACTGATGGTTTAAGGGTTATGATGATGCCCAGCTCTGTACCAGCCAAATGAGTTCTTTAGGTACCTCCCTTGGGATTGGTAATCCTCCCCCCCCCTCCAATCAGTTGCTCTACAAATTCATATATTTGACTTGGTCATCCTGTCTTGGAACACTGCAAAATTCCTGAGCTCTTTGCTGCCAGATTTGACGTGGACACGCGGCATGTTTTTATTGGTGATCATTCTGGACAAGTGACCATCCTTAAACTTGAGGAAGAAAACTGCAGCCTCATCACAACGTTTAGGGGACATACAGGTATGTTTGGATGAAATTCGGCTCCTCAAGATCGTGTCAGAGAGGACTGAAGTATGCGATACAGTGGTCCCGCCGCCTGTGGCTGCCAATGCCATTTTAGAGGGAAATTTAGCCATTTAAAAATTGCCATACTGGCATTGGCAATCTTGGCCTCCCTGTGCCTTTTCGAGTGCCAAAACAGCCGTGGGGATGATGGAAACAAGATCTCTTGTTGCTGCTGCACCACAGGCCTGATCAGGTCCTCATGGCAGTTTTGAAACAGCTAAGTTTCCCCTCTAAAACGGCCTTCATGGCCCCAGGGTGGACCCACGTCCGCTGTGAGATGTAGTTTGGCTCTGAGTGTGAAAGGATGTGGGAGGGAATGCTATGAAAAGAGCCCAGTTGTTGGGAACTCCTGATGATTGCGCTGCAGAAGACAGTTAGCATTTGATGGTGTCTGTGGTTGACTTCAGTGAAGAAAGCTGTCTGTTAATTTGGAGGCCAAGTTTCTGTGAGAGCCCTGTGCTTTTTCCATTCAGCCCTAAAATGCTGAGTCACCAGCATTTTTGACTGCTTGGGAAAATCGTGAAAAGGACAGCTCTGCTTGGTTTGAGAAGCATTTTTGAAATACACAGTGTGCTCTTTTTTCTGACTTGTCATGAAACAAAGATGTTTAACATGGGAAAGTGGCTTGTAGTTTATTGTGTCTAATTCAAACTTTTACCCATCTTAGGTCTCAAAATGGTGGTGTGAGAAGGGCAAGTTACAAACATTTTTAAACTACAGAAGGTTCCTCAACTTAAAATTTTATGTAAATGTTAAATGCAGATAGAAGATGGCTTTGAGAAGGGAGTCAAAGAGAGCCAAGAGATTAGAGTGCACATACTTTAATCTGGGACAACTGGGTTTGATTCCCCACGCCTCCACTTGCAGCTGCTGGATGACTTTGGGCAAGCCATAGTTCTGTCAGAGTTGTTCTCTCACGAGCAGTTCTCTCAGAGCTTTCTCAGCCCCACCTACCTCACAGGGTGTCTGTTGTGGGGAGGGGAAGGGAAAGGAGATTGTAAACCACTCTGAGACTCCTTTGGGTAGTGAAGGGCAGGGTATAATTCCAATCTCCTCCTCCTCTTCTTCTACTTCCTCTGAAGGTTTAAAGTGGGGAACAGCTTCTGGCTTGGAAGCCAGACCCACATCCAGAACTGGGAAAGGATTGGAGCCTTCCATAAGGCTCTTTCTGCTCTTGGAATCTGAACTGGGAGATGTTAGTAATCAGCTCTTCTTACTGTCATAATCCTTCTGAAACTAGTTACCTTAAAGTTGTTTATATCTTACGTACAGCTTGGTCTCTTCTTCCTTGTCAGCAAGTGTGTATTCACTTATTTATTTACTTATTTATACCCCACCTTTCTCTCCAATGGGGATCCAAAGCAGTTAACATCGTTCTCCTCTATTTTTATCCTCACAACAACCCTGTGAGGGAGGTTAAGTGAAGAGTGTGTGACTGGCCCAAGGTCAGCCAGCAAGCTTCTGTGGCATGAGTGGGAGTTCAAACCGGGCCTCCCAGTTCCTGGTTGGACACTCTAACCGCTACAACACGCATGCGTTAGAAGTAGAAACTAGGCTACATTTCCTTTCATCACACACAAATTCATACAGAGACCCTTCTGTCTAGACTGGGAAAGTGAAACTTCTCAAAATGGAGTTCAGGTTTAGGAATCTTTTCCAAAGGAAGAACCAATATTAAAAAGCTGCAGAAAGTTCAGGATGCCATTCCAGGCGGGGTGAAGGAGAATTAGTGAAGGCTGAGGTGGGGCAAGTTTCATAGCAAGTTTATATTCCCAAAGAGCAGATGGAAATCCTCTACATAATCTGTTGATGCTTGACAGTGAACTGTTTCTTCTTTCCCGCTCACCCCCGTCCCCTCTGCCATTATATATCCAGGTGGAATCACTGCCCTCTGTTGGGATCCTGTGCAGCGTGTCTTGTTTTCGGGCAGTTCTGACCATTCGATTATCATGTGGGACATTGGAGGAAGAAAAGGGACAGCCATAGAATTGCAAGGTCACAAGTACGGTACACCAATCCAGTGCTTTCTCTTCTCGCATTTATGCATCATTTATTTAGAAAATGGATATGCTGCCTCTCCAGAGATCGGCTCATGGCAGCTTACAGCTAATAAAACCAATTTATTAAAAACACAAGGTTCTTGCCAGATATATCGCACTCACACAAGAGTCTTGTTTCATTTAAAAAAACATATTGTTGAGTAGCATTGTGGCTTCACTGATTTTTTCAGAATGTATTTACAAAACACAGCGTTTAAGAAGAGTCTGGTTTCACTTTCTGAAACTTTGGCTCACCATATCCCTCAGGGGTGAAAGGTTGTCATGGCTCTTCCTAAGAAATCTTTTGTGTGGGTGGGTGTGTGCACGTGCGTGTGTCTGTGTAAAAGAATATATCCCCCATTAGAGCACTCAGGGATTGTAGTGGATTTGTACTAGAGAGTTCAAACTTTCACTCCATCACGAAACATTTAGTCAATATTGCTCAGACATAATTTACCTCTTGAAATGGTTTTGAAAGCAAAATGGTATGAGGGTTATTGTAAGATATAACAACATATAGGCCATCCTAAACTGGTATGACAATATGAAATACATATTTTTGGTCTGAAGACCAAGCATCTCACTGAGGGATTTTATTTTTAAATGGGGTAGGAATAAATGTTGAGACAATTTTCTGCCCTGTTCCTACTCTTTCCAGATGCAGAATCCTTGCAGAATCCTGATTTTCCAGTCTTGGTTTTAATGAGTGACAAACAGTTGGGTAGCTCAGCAACATGCTGTAGAACAGTGATTCGCACATTTTTCAGTACGGTGACCCACAAGTCTACATTTACTTTATGTGGTGATCCACTTGGAAAAGAGCATCCACAAGTGCAAAACCCTGGGACCAACTTTCATGGGCTTTGCAACCCACTTTGGACCCACAGATTGGGAAATGCTGTGGAAATCTAGACTTCTGGGATCTCAAATGCTCTCAACAGTAAGCTGTAGCTATATAGGACATTCAACTGTGTTTAGGGCATATCCCTCAGAGGAACTGTTGTCTGATTCCAGAGGTATCTCTTGTTGCTTCATGGACAACTTTTTCTCTCAGACAGTGCCTTTAATACATGGGGTATATATAACTTTCGGTATACCTATAGATTTGGGTCTTCTCCACTGCAGAATTTGGCTCCTTCCAAGAGATTCTCTGTGGATACCTTGTCTGAAAGGAAAGAGAATTGAACTGTTCAAGTTGCTTTTCCTTGTCATTAACATTGCTGAAATTTATTTATTTATTTTTGTTCTCTGCAGTGATAAAATTCAGTCACTCTCCTATGTCCATCACACGCGGCAGCTTATCTCTTGCGGAGCAGATGGAGGGATTGTTGTCTGGAATATGGATGTTGAGAGGCAGGAGGTGCATACTCAGTTCTTCTTTTATATCTGGTCAGGGAAAAAGCAGCTTATTTTAATTTTAAGCCTTTGAAGGGTTCATTGAATGCCTGACTTTTCAAAGGGCTGTTTTAGAACTCAATCACATTTTAGGTTTGTATATTATGTTTACCTCTGTTTAAGCTCTGCTGTCTGAGTACTACTTGGAATGGTAGAGTACTGAATGAACAACAACAAAACCTCTTTCATTACTACACTGAAGAGGAAATTCAGGCAAAATCATGAGCTTTTCACCTAGACTTTTCCTCAGAGTTTTCATAATATCCCACAGATCTGTTTTAGCAGAAAATTTTGCCTTCCAACTATCACCTCAGGCATCCTCTTCTGTGCACACTTCGCTAAATTGTATGTCTCTTTTTTAATGGGATTGCAGTGGCTGTTTGTGACATCTAGATCATGAGCAAGGAAGTGATCAAGTGATGGCATTTCTTGAGCTGTGCCAAAAATACAGTGCCCGTGCAACATTAATAAGTAGGGTTCCCGAATTCCCCCCGGTTTCGAGCCCCGATTCCCGCTCCCGTGGAATCGGGGCCCGGGGGAAAACCCACCCCCGTGTGTGCGTCACCCGGAAGTGACGTTGCACACTGGGGGTGGGGCGACGCCATTTGAGGGGAAAACTCTTTGTTTTCCCCTCAAATGGCGTCACCCCGCCCCAGTGTGTGACGTCACTTCCGGTGACGCTCCGGAAGTGTGCGCGCGCTTTGCGCACGTGCGCACACATCCCTGGCCAGCTCCCGGAGCGACAGGATGCTCCCCCGCCGGTAAGCTTTTTCGATTTGGCAACCCTATTAATAAGGGAATAGATCAAGATGGGTTAGTCTCTCTGTATCAGTAGAAAAGACCAAAAAAAAAATCTTTTCTTTATCCATCTTTATCTTTTTTTATCTTTTTCTTTATCTTTTTATCATCCATTCTTTATCTTTTCTTTATCCATAGTTGTAGTTCCCCTTCCTATATTTTTCTTTGTAGTTTGTAGTCATATTGAAAAAATACAAATACCCCTCCGGGGGTTTAAAAAAAAAAAGTAGAAAAAACCAAGAGTCCAATAGCACCTTAAAGACTAACAAAATTTGTGTCATAGTATGAGCTTTCATGAGTCACTGCTCACTTCTTCAGATTAACAAGAGAAGACAAAACTCACAGGCTCATGCCGAAAAAGCCCTGCCAGGTTAGACTTGCCTAAGGCAGGATCCTGTTTCCAGATGGTCATCTCTGTGAATCCCACAACCAGGGTTTCAGTGTAATGATGGGCTACCTCTTAACACTGGGGTTCCATTCAGCTATTGTGGTTAGTAGCCATTACTCTTTCAACCCCACTGAGTCAGTGGCCATCACTGCATATTATGGCAGCAGAGCCCATGAACTAACTGCATTTGGGTGAAAACCCCCTTTTTTTGCTTGTCCTAATTCTGCTGCCTGTCAGTTTCACGAGGTCCAGGTGTTACAAGAAGATGGGAGACTTTATTTTTCTTCATGGCATAATTTTATAAACCTCTAGCACTGCATTCAGAGACATTTTGAGAAGGGAGTTTATATGTAGCAGGTAGCCTGCAACGTATCTCTCTTTCATCCTGGGAAATGCTGATAATGACTACAAACAAAGCAAAATTTCCTAGGAATAGATATGCACGTAGACCAACAACTAGAACTGCTCACTGGTTATGTGATGTAGCCTGGCATAGATTAAAAGCCTGTCCCTTGTTCAGTTTACTCTAAATGCAGTCTGGCTCTGAAATTGGTGGTGGTGGGGAGGGCACAAAGCATGGCTCTTAGCAATGCTGAATGCGTAAGATGCTCTAAGCAAAGATCCAGGGAAACTGCTGCCTTGTGTGCCCCCTGAGAAATTAAGCCTTACATTGGCAGTGCCAGCCCACTACAGGAATAGGAAATGTTACTGCTCAGAAGTGAGTAGGTCAGCCCGTTCACTGAACTATTTGTGGTTGTATACGACACAGCATTTCTGCGAATTAAATACAAGCCCTGATTCCGTTATCTCTCCATCAGTCTGTTAACCAGGGAACAACCACAGCAAACTTTTTCCACTGGAAAAATGATTGTCTCATCACAAATAGCAGATCTAACTCTGCCTATATGAATTACTCACTTGGGCACATTGGCAGTTCACAATAGTTCCTTGGAGGGAAGATCAAGGTGGGGGGTGAGAGAGGATTTGTCTTGGAAACAAAGCTTCATGCTTGATATTGTGTATGCTGTATTGTTCTGTTTACCTGTAATTGCTTTCTTGCTAAATTGTGTACGTCCGTTCTAGTTTGCGCTCTGGGTACACCCCGTGCTTAATTCAGAGGAATGGATGTTAGTCTGCTGTAGGAAAAACAAGCAGAAGTCTTAGGACACCTTGAAAACTTATTTTTAAATTCTAACAGAAAATCTGCATCATCGGTCTTCAGTGCAGACCCCCATTGGGACTACTTCCAAGCAGGCCTGCCGCAGAAAAATATATTCCCAAGCTAAAAAGTCCTCTAGAGGGCGCTCTTTCTCCCTCTCACCATTGTGAGATGTCCTTTTCCCGCTCAAAGGATGGTCACGGGGTCCAAGGGAAGGGCGCCCACTCCCTCGATTCCTTTTCGCCACTGTTGAGAATTGTTCTTCCCAGCATGGCTCCTTTGAAGAAAAATCTAGAAGAAAGAGAAAGAGGATTAGCCTGTTTGTGTTGGATAATCTTCTGTTGGAACCCATTGCCTTACTGCTTGCCGGGCAGACGAGAAAGACTGCGGGCTTCTTTGCCTTTCCTGGGGCTCTGGGTTGCTTTAGTTCCCAACCTCCTTGCTGCGGGTGCTACTTCTAAGGCCTCACCCCCTGTGATGACTCAAAAGGCCTTATTCAAGAACTATTCTAAATGTGGTACTAAAATGCCACACTCTGACCAGCACAGCCTTTGCGTTCTCTGTCTTGGAGAAGAACGTAATGTGGGGTCCTACTGCATTTGCCAGCAATTCACCTCCAAAGCACGAAGTGACATAAGAACATAAGAGAAGCCAATGTTGGATCAGGCCAATGGCCCATCCAGTCCAACACTCTGTCACACAGTGGCCAAAAATACCAGGTGCCATCAGGAGGTCCAGCAGTGGGGCCAGGACACTAGAAGCCCTCCCACTATTGACCCCCCCAAGCACCAAGAATACAGAGCATCACTTGCCCCAGACTAAGAGTTCCTATCTATACCTTGTCGCTAATAGCCATCGATGGACCTCCGCTCCATATGCTTATCTAATTCCCTCTTGAAGCCGTCCATGCTTGTAGCCGCCACCACCTCCTGTGGCAGTGAATTCCATGTGTCAATCACTCTTTGGGCGAAGAGGTACTTCATTTCATCTGTTCTAACCCGACCACTCAGCAATTTCATGGAGTGCCCACGAGTTCTTGTATTGTGAGAAAGGCACAAAAAAGACACGGCTTTTCATTAAAAGGCAGCCCGTAAGAGAGATCAGTAATAATAAAGATAAAAAGAAAATTAAATTGAAAAAATTAAATGGGGGCACGTGCAGTGCAACAAGCACTTTTTGTGGGGGGACAGGGATGGTGCCTTCCTCCGACGGTTATTGTTAAGGCTCAGTCAGCCACTTGCGTATCCCACGCGCCCAAAGGCAAAATTTAGCTACTTTATTAGTTATCTCCTGGGAGGAATGTGCAAGAAGGAGGGAGATATGAAGCTGTTCAGATCTGTTCAGACCTGGTAGCGTTGACAGGATGTCGTTGTAGTATGGGCAGTGCAGCAGAGCATGGTTGACAGTCTCTTACATAGTGGTCTATCCAGCCTGTTTTCAACCTTTGGGGGAGCCCCAGGGTAGATCTGTTTGCAACAGTACGGAACACCAAGACACCATATTTCTGTTCTCTGGCGGGCAACGACCCCCTATCCATGGGGGGATGCTTTCCAATTCATTTGGACAGTAGCCCTCTTTGGCCTATTTCCCCCTTTCTCGCTGCTCATGAGAATGGTAGCAGAGTTGCTTGACAGTGGTAGCAAGATTGGCCACACCAGGCATGGTCTGTCCCCCTTCTTCAAGGATCCAAGGGGGTGTATATTCATCTACCTGTTGTCCCAGACTTACTCTACATGTTCAGGCGCATTCTGCCAGGGACCAGGTATCTTTGGCCGCAGTGCTGAGAGGTGTCCCACTGCTGGAGATCTGCCAATCAGCTACTTGGTTGTCTTTGGAGACGTTCACGAAACATTACGTTCTGGAACTGCAGGCAGGACTAGAAGCAGCGGTTGGCAAGATCATCCTACATTTTCTGTTCAAATGACATATTCAGGTGAGAACCTCACCCCACCTCCTAGGTTGGTAGCTTGGTAACACCCCAATGGGGGATTGCACAGAAGACTGAAGATGAAAACAAGGTTGCTCTTACCTATAACTCTTGTTCATTGAGTGTTTTCTGTGCGGGCACATATTCCCCCGACCTGCCCCGCTGTGGGTTCTCAGAGTACAGTTTTTCTTCTGGTACTCGTGGCGGCTTAGGCAGAACTGAAAGAGTGGGTGCCCCCTCCCTTGGACCATGTGACCATTCTTTGGGCAGGGAAAGGACATCTCACAATGGTGGGGGAGCGCCCTCTAGAGGACTTTTTAGCTCGGGGGAATATACTTTTCCATGGCAGGCCTGCTCAGAAGCAGTTCCATTGGGGGACTGCACAGAAGACACTCAATGAACAATGGTTACAGGTAAGAGCAACCCCGTTTTATGGATTACAGGTGAGTTTAGGCATCTGGATATGCGGACTAATTCACGAAGTTTATGCTAGAATAAAAACGTTAGTTTTTAAATCCTATTGTTGCAACCAGCCTAGACTAGCACAAGAAGAACTTACGGCAATGCCATTATATTGATTATAGCATGTTAATTGCACTTCAACAGCATTGGAATGATATGTATAGTTTTGCTGAAGTCCTTTAAATGTGCATGGACTCTTAATACTGGTCAGAGAACCTAGATTCTTGAAAATCCTAATTTTGTGAGTTTCTAGTTCTCATGATTGTGGAGTTGCTCTTGAAAAATGTGCAGCTGCAGACATCTCCCAGTGTCTTTCTCTGAACATGCCCTTGTCGTTGCTATAGCCATACATTCCTTTTACTCCAAATTTACCCATTATTTATTTAGGATCTTTCTAGCTCGGCTTTCTCCAATTAAGGACTCATAACAAAGCTGCTGGCTATTAAATTTTAATCAGACTAAATTTCCTCCCTGATTGGTGAGGATCAAATAAAGGCTCCATTGTGGCAAAGTTGCTATTGTGCCGATAGCCCTGTAGTATTTGTACTAATATTGGATACAAACTGGAAAAAAAATAATAGTCTTTAAAAACAGTTTTGCTTTCATAATGCGCGTTTTTGTCCTAACTGAATGTCACTTTTGTTAACTTGCGGAGTGTTCCCCCACCCCAAGGAGGGGAATTGAGTGAAGTTTGGCAATATATAAATCAGTCTAAACAATTCAATTAATATATAGTAGCTATTTAATTTAATGTAGCTATTTAATTTAATTTAAGGACAACTCTTGTCTGCAAGCATATTGGTCATCCATTCCTAACTCTGCTAAATCAAGCTGCCTGTATAAAGCGTGCACAATAAGCAAATGGGCTGTGACTCAGTGGTAAGAGCATCTGCTTAGCATGTAGAAGGTCCCAGGTTCAGTTCTTGGCACCTCCATGTGAAAAGGATTGGGTGACAGCCTCAGTCTGGTCACACTGCCTATCGTACTTTGGTCGTATCACGAGAAGACAAGACTTGCCGGAAAAGACATGAATGCCAGGAAAAGCTGAAGGCGGCAGGAAAAGATGAAGACCCGACATGAGATAGGTTGACGCAGTCAAGGAAGCGATGGACACAGAATGCGTGCACACAGTAGGTGATGTGAAAGCCATCAGCCTGAGACCCTGGAGAGCTGCTGCCAGTCTGAGTAGACGGTATTGACTTCAATGGACTTTAATCTGATTCAGTGTAACACAGATTCACGTGTGCATAAATATGGAATACAGATTTTTGAACTGCGTTTGTTGTACAGTCTGTTGCACAATAGTCATTGGATGGTGCATAGTCTTAGCAAAGCTTGAATTTAAGTGGCTGGTTTTGTCCTGCATGTCTCTGCTCACGGATCTCTTTCATCCCTTCTTACATTTAGACACCTGAATGGTTAGACAGCGACTCCTGTCAAAAGTGCGACCAGCCTTTCTTCTGGAACTTCAAACAGATGTGGGATAGCAAGAAAATAGGCCTAAGACAGGTTTGTGATATGCGGCTCTTAGATCATCGATAGCCTCCTGTTCCACTTGATGCAGCGTCTTACCACTACTTGATGCAGCGTCTTACCACTACTTCTGACTTCTGTAAACCTTGTTTCATGGGAAACTTATGTTGACAATTCTAGATTGGTTTTTGTGGAACTGTTTATATGGATGGATAAACAAAAAGGAGACTGCCCTAGTAGGGCAGTGATTTCCCACCCACCCCTTCCTTAAAAGAATGGATCCTTTTGAACCACAGTGCAGTAATTTCACATTAGTCAGGTAACCTTGAAAAAGTTTATCAGCAGTTGCACGATACATAAAATATGGCCACAACCTCAGGTAGATGTAGAGGGAGCAATAAAATATCTTGCCCTACTAAACATACTATCTTCATTATAAGCTTGTATCTTAAGTTGTGGTTAGCCTTTCTGATAAAAGAAATTTATATGACAGTTCTAAAATTTAATTATTGTGGGTTGGGTCCTAAGCAGTGTGCAAAAGGCACAATCATTCTCCCCTCTCTTTTACTGAAGCTACTGTTGCCTCCCAAATTCATGCTCTTTCAAGCAGGTTGAGACACAGGAAGGGTTTGGTGGGCAGATAGAGGGAGTCTGCGACAGGAGGTAGGGATCAGCAGAAATAATCCTCTGCAAATGGAAAAGGTGTTTTGTCAGAGGTGCTGCTGAGAGCCAGTTTGGTGTAGTGGTTAAGAATGAGGACTCTAATCTGGGAGAACCAGGTTTGATTCCCCATTCCTCCACATGTAGCTGCTGGTATGACCTTGGGTCAGTCATAAGTTCTTTCAGAGCTGTTCTCTAAAGGGCTGTTCTCGAGAGAGAGCTCAGCCCCATCTACCTCATAGGGTGTCTCTTGTGGGGAGTGGAAGGGAAAGGGATTGTAAATTGCTCTCCTTCGGGTAGTGAAGGGTGGGGTATAAATCCAATCTCTTCTTCTATAGGATCCAAGCTGATGGTTTCACATTTTAAAATTTGTTCTTGCATAGGTTTTTATTTTGCTGGATCATCTGTATTCTCCTGTCAGGAAAATGAAAAGAGCAGTGTTTGTTAATCAAATGTTTCCTGTAGAAATCCTTTAAATGGTTTTGTATTTAGTTAATGAAGCATTAGTTTGGAGACTTGGGAGGTTCTAAATCCTTTCATCTTCAATTGCTTTTCCTTCTTTCCTGAATAGGTTACTAATTCTTGATTGATCTACCTTGGCGGTATTTTTGTGGAGGAAAGTGCTGTAGAAATTTACATGTTGTACTCTTGATTTCTTGAGTAGGGCTGGCTATAAATGTGAACTGATACACTTACTGACTCCAGCCAATCCTTCTTTGCTTTTGACTTCAGCATCATTGCCGAAAGTGTGGGAAAGCAGTCTGTGGCAAATGCAGTTCGAAGCGTTCTTCCATACCGCTCATGGGCTTTGAATTTGAAGTGAGAGTCTGCGACAGTTGTTATGAGTCAATAACGGATGAAGAGTAAGTCGTCGTCCTGGACTCTCGGCCTGCCTTCTTTGTTTCATGCCTACCCTCCACCCCACTCTCCCCTCAAAATATTTCAGTTTCTGAGGGAAACCCAAATATTACTAGAGACTAAATTTCGAAAATACTTTTAGAAGGTTTTTTAATTGTTGCAATGTGTGTCCAGGGGCAGGCTTAGCCAGTGGGCAGCAGGGGCAGTTGTCCCAGGCCCCGTGCTGGGGTGGGGGGCGGTTGCCCATGTCTTCTCCCCCAGTGAGGGGGTAGAGAAAAAAGAGCAGACTTCTGCTGCTGCCACTAGCAGTGGCCTGGGCTGCTTGCTCACAATGACAGCCTGCTGGCTGTGGGGGGACACAGTGATTCCGTGGCCCCATCCTGGACTAGGGCCCCCCAGTTACTAAGACCAACCCTGTGCATCTCCTAGCCCTGGTAAGAATGGAAGTTGCTCCCTTAAAGCAGTCTGGATGCATGAAATTGTGATGCTTGCTTTAGACAGTTACTCGATTACGTGGGTCTTTTGTTTCACTCCTGGCTTTTCCTCCCCCAAGGCGTGCTCCCACAGCCATTTTCCACGACAGCAAGCACAACGTCACCCATGTACACTTTGATGCAACCCGAGTGTGGTTGTTGACCTCTGGGGCAGACAGGATTGTTAAGGTAAGAGTCGAGGTAGGAACCGCAGGTATACTGGATTCAAATCTAATTCCCTTTTGAAGCCGTCCATGCTTGTAACTGCCAAAGGTTGCCTCTCAATCCCTTCCCCAGTCAGAAGGGATTAAGAGATATGTCCACACTGGTAGAAACTATTTTTTTAAAAAAATGTTGTATTATTAAGAGAATTGTTAAGTATTTATGTCCTTCCTTTCAACTTTCCAGGCTCTAAAATGGTTTATAATGTTTTCAGGAACAGCTCTTATCAGAGCTGCGGCTTGCCCAAGGCCATCCAGCCAAGTGCAAGTGAAGGAGTGGGGAATCAAACCCGGTTCTTCCAGATTAGAGTCCGCGCACTTAACCACTACACCAAACTGGCTCTGTTTGTAAGGAGTTTGTAAGCAGCTCTGAGACTCTGAGTGAAGGGCGGGGTATAAATCAAATCTCTTCTTCCTCTTTTTCTTCATTTCTAGCCCTTTTTGGTGAGGGGAAGGACCAATATCATCATCAGCAGACCATACTGTGGGGAATGGTTATTTTATAAAAGATTTATTAAATTGTTTTTTCCCCGTACTTACCTGCCTTTGTCTTTTGACAGTTGTGGGATATGACGCCTGTGGTATCTTGATATGTCAGTGAAACTTAAAACAACTGAGGAAGGGATAACTAACACAGAATCTCCTGCAGAAGATAATGCAGTTCTCTGTGATGGCTGATAAGGGAGAACTTTCAATACCTCTGGACGGTTACCCAAGTGATCTTTTGGAACCAGCATGAACTCTTGCACAAAAATACTCTACTTCTCTTTGTTCTCAAACGACAGAAGGTGGTTGTTTTTTTAAAAAACAAAACTGTACAATCTGGCGCCGTTCCGCTGTTTGGAATTTGTCTGGGAAATGTGTGCGGTGCAGTTTTTATAGTCTTCGTGTTCTACGTTGACCCGTGAGGTCCGGTGTGGAGGAGTCTGTCGCGATACGAGAGCCGTCTTCTGCAACTTAGCCCGAAGAGGCTTGATCTCCTCTTCTGAGATGAGGCGGGGAAAGCAAAGAATTCCTCTTTTCTGTGTTTTGTGATGGAGTGCTGTTGAACAGACATTTGAATCGAGAGCTCTGCCATGGAAGATCTGGGCACTGTGGCCACTAAGCAGCTCTTGTTTAACGGGGGGGGGGAGGCATCGTTTGTAATTGCATTCTAGTAAATGGTACTGAGGGGGGGGGGGGAAAGAGATGCGGAGAAAGTCCTGTGTTTTCTATCACAGAGCGAAGAGTAATCCTTGTTTTAGCAAGCGATCTCAGAATGGCTATACTAGCTGCCTAGCCTCCAAACATCGCCAGTAAACCCACTCAAAGCAGTGATTTTAAATAGCTGCAGGTAGCTCTCCTGTGTGGGGAGTGGCATGCGGTTTACAGGTGGGCCAGCGATGGGGATTTGGCTAGAACTGGTGTTCTTGGGGCATGGTTGGAGGACTTGAACTGTTCCGTTCCTGTTGCCTCTCTGGCAGGGCATGCGGGTGTGTGTTTCTTTTAATGGCTGGTGGTTGTAAATTGTTTTTAATTCTCAATGTAATCCCCGGATTGAATGTGGCTGAACTTAACGTTTTGTTCTGCTACCTTTATTAGGTAGTTCCTTTTCAGATAATAAAAATGCTGAAACAAAAACTGCCTTCTTCAAAGTATGCAAGTCAGTCAATTTCAGATCTTGTGGTTGTTGTTGTTAAGCTCAATCTCTGGTCTTGTAAATCATTTTAAAACAGTGAGGGACCCGCAAGGACTTGTGGGAAGCATTTCCTTTCCCCCCCTCCCCCGCAATGTCTTCTCTCCCTTTCCTGAGAAGCCCCCATAGCCTCCCCCTTTCCTGCTTCCTTCTCTCCTTTTCGCCTACCAGCCAACCAGTGTTCCCTCTAAGCTGAGTTAGCGTGAGTTAGCTCACAGTTTTTTAGGCTCCGGCTCACATATTTTTGTCTTGGCTCAGGAAGGATGGCTCCAGAACAAACTAATGGATGCAGCAGCCAAATCGCTCGCTCACAACTTTAATGCCAGTAGCTCACCAAGTAGGATTTTTGCTCACAAGACTCCACAGCTGAGAGGGAGCAACCTATCTTTTCATGTTTCTTACGGTTCCAAAACGGGGGGGGGGGGGAGAGGAGAATTCCGT